GAAGTACTCTCTGGTCAGCTAAGTGAACAAACAGCAACACCAGAGGAAATAACACTTTTAAATGCAAAGAGAAAAACTTCCACACACACACACACAACCACATAACATTTGACTGCATTGCTGTTTTAGTAAAACAAGAACAAAAAGTACTGATTCCTCCCTCGCCTGACGGTGTTTATTCAGAGTTGAATTGACTCTCACGTTTGTGTACAAACCACAAATGTGGGAACTGTAACACGCTTTTCCAAAAGAGCTGCGAGTCTCATCAGCTTGTAAAATGATGTAGCATGAGGCAACATCACTTGTTACACGAGGAGAAGTTTAGAGAAGAAAGAGTTCATCGGCCATGTCTTCTGCCTGGGAAGAGAGGTGCAGCAAGGATGATGGTAAGTTCTGGTAAGAAGAAGCTTCCAGGGGATAAAAGGTGATGATTCCTCTATTTATTAAAAATGTATAATGCCTTAAAGGTGTGGTTGACTGAAAAAGCACTTTTTTTTTCATTTTATTTTTGAATATAATCGGTCATTCTGAGTTTTTCATGCAGGCTGAAAATGAAAATAGTCTCCTACGCCGATCTCCTGCATTCAGCTTCTGGTAGAAAGCTCAGCTGTTAGTTCCGTGATATGGTGCACCGGTAGCTTTCCTACTAGAGACCACTGCAAATGCATGGATTAAACGAGTCAACCACTCCTTTAAATAAAACGCAAACTTATTATTACAACACATCACTGAATGGAGGGCAATATTGTTTTTGATTGCTAGTGTGCAGTTTTGTTTGTTGGATTGTCATTTCTCAACACAAGATGGTTTCATTTTAAATCTTTGGCACAAAAGGTGGTGGTTGATGTGGATTCCATCAAGGGACGTAAGTAACAAAAGTGTCAGCTCAGAAACACAGTTAAGTGTGAGGTCTGACCTCTCAGCTCTGACATTTGCCCAAACATTGGTATGAATACTGAGGCAACCTACATGCTCCCGGAATATGAAGGCGAGGATGGCAGCAGCCAGCTCTGCTAGGAAGATGAGGAGGATGAGCATGAAGAACTGCAGGAAGACAAAAGAACAGAAAAAGGAGCAAAGAATTTGACAAGGTGGTTGAGATGCAGAAAAAGTGCATGACAGGTTAAAAAAAATCACACACTGCCCACTTCACTCAGCATTAACTATGTATGAGGCTCCAAGGCAAACAGAAAGGCATTTTGCTCGTTCTTGACTGATTCCAGCATGGCTGTCCAAAAACCAAATAATAAATAAAACACCTGACAGAGAATATAATCACCACATGTACACAAACAAGCCTGGGTCTGAAATGCATTTCAAATTTGTCAGCAGACTCACGAAGAGGAGTAGACACTTGTTTTCACGGATAGCTCCACAGCAGCCGAGGAAGCCCAGCAGAAAGAGCATGCCTCCCATTCCCAGGATGATGTAGATTCCAGTGAAGAGTAAAGGGTTGGCTGCCACAATTTCCCTGAACCCCGTGGGGTCCACCAACACCCACACTCCCACTCCAAGAAGGAAGGAGCCTCCCAGCTGATGGAGAAAATGATAAAATGTCACATCACAGAAAAACAAATCAATATTTATGCCGCTTTAACGGAGCAGTAGAATGGGGTTTATTTACAATTGGAACCTGATCTTTGAGGCTCCATAAAGCATATGAAACTTTGTAGAGCTTGACATGTTCCAAGAGCTCTGATAAAAGGTCAAATAAAAGACACAAATTCATTATAAAACAGCTAATTAAAAAATAACCTGTTTTCCCCGCCCACTCACCCAGGACATGAATGCTCCGTGAGCTGCATGCTGACTAGACAATTTAACAATGTGTGCATGTGTGTGTGTGTGTGTGTGTGTGTGTGTGTGTGTGTGTGTGTGTGTGTGTGTGTGTGTGTGTTCACAGGCGAAAGTTTGAAGAGAGAAAGGGAAAGTAGAAACTGAAAGTAAAGTCAAGGTTCATCACTTAAGCCCAATTTATACTTCTCCGTAAGATCGAGCGTGGAGTTGCACACACGCATTGACGGAGATGTTTTCTCTTCAGACTTCTCCATCACCTGGGGATTGTTGCTAAGCAATTCCCCACCAGGACAACAGAGGGCATAGCACTTTTCTGGGGTATCCTGCCGTTAGTCATGTAGAGTATCTGATCCAAGATAGTGTATTTGCTATTGTGTTTAAATAGTTTTAATATATTTCAGATACTTTTTATAACACAGATGAGTTTGTTCTCCCACTCGTAATGCGATGGGCACCTCTAAACCCACGTTTCTTGTCATTTCCATCAACAAACTATGCACTTGCTGTGTATCTTTGCACTCCTTCAGTCACGGGTGAATAAATGTTCATATTTTTGGACTTTTTCCACAAGCCGTTCTTCATTCTGTTCCAGGTGTGCAGCAAAATATCTTTTTACTTTTGACAGGGCAATGGCGGTGCTGTTGACACATTTAACAAAAGCAGCATCCTGACCAATCCCAAGCTTGTGTCTCCATCATTTTCGACAGATAGTTATAATGTTGGGCATGTCTCAATCAGCCTCGGCGAGCCCATGGGAGAGCATTTGCACCGGCACATGAAGGCGTTGCGTGTCTTCGTACCCACACAGACGAAGTCCCCACTTTACTGAAGAACCAGAGTGTGTGGGGCAAAGCCCGGCTGCTTGTAGATGGGTTGAGGATGAACAAGGAAGAACATTATCTGACTTGATCGGACCACATGTTGTGGATCTATCTGGCATTCATTTATAGTCTGGACTTTACCAGTGTATCATGAAACCTAGGTGGTGAGTGCTTGTTATTCTCTCTTTCAATAAGGTTGTTGCTAGGAGCTGAAGCTAACAGCTCAGGCTGGTGTTAACAGAGTTTCGGCTTATCGTGGCTCTACGATAGAGTAACTGCGACTAGCGTTTAAATGTTGATGACATTTAAATGGGTTGGAACATGTAGATTAAAGATGTAGTTCACTTGTTTAATCAATACATTTGCAGTGGTCTCTAGTAGGAATGAATGCCTTGTAACTCATCTCCGGGGGGCATGAAGGAGATCTGCTGTGTGGTGTGGTTGCTAATGCTAAGGGTTAGCTTAAACTAGCCAAGACGTCTGCTGCTGATTCTGGAACTTTAAAACAACAACAGCCTTCCCCGTTGGGAGTGAAGTTAGATGAGTCCATGAATGTTCAGTGAAAGTGTGACATAGATCTGTGACGATTGTCAAATCCTAGAATTTCACCATCTATTTTCTATCAGAAGCTAATACAGGAGATAGGTGTAGGAGACTATTATCATGTTCAGCCTGCCTCAAAACTCAGAATGACTGAAATAAAAATAAATAATGGGTTTTCAGTGTTTCACACCATTAAAGAGCAAGTCAACCCCTACCTGAGTCTAACTCCACTCCCACTTCATGTTTGAAAAATGCAACAAATGCTGTTGCCTGGAAGACCGAGAAGGCGGAGCTGCTAACAAATACACACACACACAGGCTCACGACAGCATTGTGACATCATAATGTACCAGTTTACATCATAGCATACCTCTTAGCCAATAGCGGTGGCAGATTTAAACTAAAATACAGTGCAGAGTTTTTACCTGACGACGGCGCAACACTGCCAGTTTTAGGCAGAATATTTAAATTTTAACTAAGATGCACTGAAGTGCCAAATTATTGACCACACATGTCTGCAGCACGATTAGACACTTGTTTATTTAGTTTATCAGCAAAAAAAAAAAGTTTATTTGGGGGTGACTTGCTCTTTAAGCAGGGATGGCTATCATGTGACGTGTTATCACCGCCTTGCTCGGAACGGATGTTTTTTTCTCGCATTTTTAAAATTTCTAATTGACAAAGAAAGCAGGTCTCACATGAATTAGACTTTTTGGTATGCTACATTTGACCACCCGAGCTGTTTTTATTCAACGACAAGGAAACTGTTGCTTTACGTTCTATTGCCTCTTTAAAACATTCATAGGAACTAAAAAGAGAGTTGACACAAATTAGAAAAATATATAAGTGATGTGAATGCCTGCCAGGGTGGATTGACAGTTGTGTGTGAAACAAAAGATCTAGAGCCACAATGATGCTTTTGTGTGGGTAGAGATGTCTGTCCTACTTAAAAAAAAAAACAACCTGCTAAAGAAAAGAGTGCTGCAGCTTTGATTCTCTCCAATCCTTTCACTCAAATCGTATCTGCCACCACCATGGGGCGACTCATGTGATTAAGAAAAGTAGATATAAAGGTAAGGGAAGAGATCCGAGCCTCCGACGTTCCCATCTAAATCCTCCCCCTGTCGGCTGGAGAAACCTGGATAGACTCAAATGAACTCTACTTCAAGCAAACATGGCGAGAGAGGATCAGGCTGCCATTTAGAAGGACTTTACTTATTAAAAATGCTGTTAAATGACACAACATGTGCATGAAATGCTAACAGCTAAGCTCATTCCTTGCTCTGCTGCTTGCATTATTAACCCAGCCTCGAACACCCACATCTGAGAAGAGCCTCTAAATGGTTTGGCTGCACCCAATAAAGCAGGAAAAGAGACAAACCTCCCAACGCCGACCCACCCCCGCTGTGAGGCCTCAGACTAACAGGATTACCCATGATTGTCTTATCAAGACTGATAAACTCAGGTGCCAGTCACAAACTCCATATGGCCCAGCATGCCTCAGATGTGTGTCAGCACGTTGAAATTTAATCAAAAGAGAATTTGATAGAATCAAGATTGCCTCATCTAATGAAATGCAAATGTGGGTCCATTAGTCAGCCAGGCAGGGAGCAGGCTGAGGCAGACTGAGGCGCATCTCCAATCATTAGACTGACGCAAACTTCAGAGGTAGTCAGATTAAGAGTCTTTTGAGAAAGAGATGAAAAGTACTTACAAAGATGAGAAAATTGAAGACAAACATGAGGTACTTGATGCAGCTGAGACAGTCCCCCTCCATGGTTGTCCCCCGAGCTGAAGCCTCCCCCTGCCCCTGAAAGCAAACAAACAGAAACACATTACATGGATCCGGGTCAGAATTGACACGTATATGATATATAATCAATATTTCAGCAATTATAAGGTCAGTATCTGCGCAAAAGTTTTAAATAAATCAACTCTTGAATAGGTTCAGAGAAAAAGAGTTTTCATCCAGCAGGATTGATGAGCTAACAGCTAGTTGGAGTGCAGTTGTGTAAAAACTGTTTAACTCTCAAAGCTTTTCATGCAAATATTTTCTCTTCTGTGCATTAGACTTGATTGTCATCAGTTTTGTGTTATGTGTTTATTTTGGCAGAAATATAAGGAAATGCTTGCAGAATTTGACCCCTGGATGTCATGTTCTGTGTCCCTTTCTTCCCCAGCTCCTCCAGTTCCCACTCCAGGTTCTCCTTTTGTGCTCTCTTAGCGCCCTCATGTGTCCTTTGTCTGCATCTCTGTTGTGTGTCTTAAGTTGTAGCCCCAACCTCTTGTTCCCCAGTTCATTGTATGTGTGTATGAGTTTGTGTGTGTCAGTATGTGTATGTGTTTGTGTGAGTCCTTCCCTTAGTCTTTAGGTTTAGTTTTGTGTTTTATATAGTGTTAGGTTTATCTGCCCTCCACTGGTTCGCTTCCCCATCCAGATAATTGTTGTCACCTGCCTTCCCTCCAGCCTCACTCCACACACCTGCTTCCTGTTTCCCTAATTGCTCCTCCCTGTCTATACAGGTGCTGGCCAGTAAATTAGAATATCATCAAAAGGTTGAAAATATTTCAGTAATTCCATTCAAAACGTGAAACTTGTACATTATATTCATGCAATGCACACAGACCAATGTATTTCCGATGTTTATTACGTTTAATTTTGATATTTATAGGTGACAACCAATGAAAACATCAAATCTGGTATCTCAGAAAATTAGAATATTCTAAAGGCCAATGAAAAAATGTTTGTTTCTCTAATGTTGGCCAACTGAAAAGAATGAACATGAAAAGAATGTGCATGTATAGCACTCAATACTTAGTCGGGGCTCCTTTTGCCTCAATAACTGCAGTAATGCGGCGTGGCATGGACTCGATCAGTCTGTGGCACTGCTCAGGTGTTATGAGAGCCCAGGTTGCTCTGATAGTCGTCTTCAGCTCCTCTGCATTGTTGGGTCTAGCGTATTGCATCCTCCGCTTCACAATACCCCATAGATTTTCTATGGGGTTAAGGTCAGGCGAGTTTGCTGGCCAATCAAGGACAGGGATACCATGGTCCTTGAACCAGGTGCTGGTGGTTTTGGCACTGTGTGCAGGTGCCAAGTCCTGTTGAAAGGTGAAGTCTGCATCCCCATAAAGTTGGTCAGCAGCAGGAAGCATGAAGTGCTCTAAAACTTCCTGGTAGACGGCTGCATTGACCCTGGACCTCAGGAAACAGAGTGGGCCAACACCGGCAGATGACATGGCACCCCACACCATCACTGACGGTGGAAACTTTACACTGGACCTCATGCAACGTGGATTCTGTGCTTCTCCGCTCTTCCTCCAGACTCTGGGTCCTTGATTTCCAAAGGAAATGCAGAACTTGCTTTCATCAGAAAACATAACTTTGGACCACTCAGCATCAGTCCAGTCCTTTTTGTCCTTGGCCCAGGCGAGACGCTTCTTGCGCTGTTTCATGTTCAAGAGTGGCTTGACACACGGAATGCGACACCTGAATCCCATGTCTTTCATGAGTCTCCTCGTGGTGGTTCTTGAAGCGCTGACTCCAGCTGCAGTCCACTCTTTGTGGATCTCCCCCACATTTTTGAATGGGTTTGTCGTCACAATTCTCTGCAGGGTGCGGTTATCCCTAGAGCTTGTACACTTTTTTCTACCACATTTTTTCCGTCCCTTCGCCTGTCTGTTAATGTGCTTGGACACAGAGCTCTGCGAACAGCCAGCTTCTTTAGCAATCACCTTTTGTGTCTTGCCCTCCTTGTGCAAGGTGTCAATGATTGTCTTTTGGACAGCTGTTAAATCAGAAGTCTTCCCCATGATTGTGGTGCCTTCAAAACAAGACTGAGGGACCTTTTAAAGGCCTTTGCAGGTGTTTTGAGTAAATCAGCTGATTAGAGTGGCAGCAGGTGTCTTCTATATTCAGCCTTTTCAGAATATTCTAATTTTTTGAGATACCAAATTTGGAGTTTTCATTAGTTGTCACTTATGAATATCAAATTTAAATGTAATGAACATTGGAAATACATTGGTCTGTGTGCATTGCATGAATATAATGTACAAGTTTCACGTTTTGAATGGAATTACTGAAATATTTTCAACCTTTTGATGATATTCTAATTTACTGGCCAGCACCTGTATAAGCCCTCCTTGTCTCATTGTTCTTGTCGGTCCATTGTTGTTTTATGTCAGCGTTGTTCTTGTCTCTCCCTCCTGGTCTCTGGTTCTCTGCTCATGAAGTGAGCTTTTGGATTTATCCCTGCTTCATTTTGTTATTGGATTTTTTGCCTCCTGCCCCTTTTTGGATTTTTATTTTGTCATCCAAAATAAAGGATTCCTCTTTATTTTACATTCCTGCCTCGTGTCATCCTGGGTCTGCATCTTGGGTCCTAACCTCCTGCTCTCAACGTGACACTGGATTCCCATGAAGTGCTACGTTTTGCCGATGCAATTGACTCATGAGTCCAATCTCAATACTTGCATTGCGCCCTGCGGTCTTCAGCTAAGTGTGCATTGCTGCGGACTTGGGTGAAGTGCAGATCAAGGGTGCAAAAGGGGCGTGATCAACTTCCGCACTTGAGAATTGGGACACCCTACGCCAGGGCTATTCAATTCCAGGCCTCATGGGCCGGTATCCAGCATGTTTTAATTTTAACCTCGCTTCAACACATCTGACTTCCATCAGCAGGTGATTAACAGACGTCTGCAGAGCCTGATGAGCTGCTGCATAGGTGACTCAACCACTCAATCTGGTGTGTTGGACCAGAGAAATCACTAAAACGTGCCGGATACCGGCCCTCAAGGCCTGAACTTGAAGAGCCCTGCCCTAAGCACTAGCGCCCCTGGTCGGGATCGCGCATTTGAAAGGCTCAAGGGTGGAAGTGCGAGTATTGAGACTGGGCCTTAAATTACTCCTTAATACAAAAATCATTAAAGTTAAAAAGTTAATGTTTGCATAACCTTTTGGGCATTGAGGCAAATGATGCATTGATGATGGCAGCATTTAGACTAGCAGAATATGTCCTAAGGAACTAGTTTTCTGAACAGAGGTTGTTCAGAGAGCAACCTAAAAAGGGTAAAACATTAATTATTTATACCTTTGCAACAGAAACATCTTTCAGAATAGCCAATTAGTCACATTACTTAAAATGTTATTGAGATATTCCAAATTCGGGTTCAAAACTTCAGTTTCCATTTTCCAACTACACATGCTCAGCCGTTTCAGTCTGAACCTAAAAGTAACTAGAATCTGAGCAGAAGCCATATCCACACTTGTTTCCTTCAGAGATGGTGTTCCAGCATGACTCAAGAGTAATTTAAGGATATCAGTTCTGACTGGAGCTCCTTGTGCATTAGCCAACAGGGATGACCTTTAGTTCAGAGCTTCCTCTTGTTAATGTAATGGAAGATGGGAGCTCCCCTCAGCTAACCCTCTACCTGACAGAAACACACTTTACTTGATGAAAGTATGTCCTCAGAGCACTAGGAGATAATGAAGAACACCTCCACTGTATGAGTATCCACGACCCTGAGCTCATATAAAGGTGATACAAAAAAATAACAAGCAGTATTTAAATAAAATTATTTGAGATAATTTTGACCTGATTTCCAAGTAAACAAGTTGAAATTCAGAAATGTTGTTAAAAACATTTATGCTTAACTTTATATGATCAAAAGTAATGAAGCATATTAGAGGTCAGCTGTATTATACGTTTTCTCTCTAAAGCACCTACAGTTTTTAATGGTTTACTGGCCTGGACTGCTATTAAATCAGCTTAGCACCTAGATTCATCTACAGCTGAAAAACATAAAAAAAAATAAAATGGTTTATTCTGCTGAAACAAACAAGGTCTTGTTTGAAAAAGTTGTTGCTTGGCCAGCTGCTGTGTATGCCATTCAGCTTTAATGATGGCTGCACACATGCACCCCTGTGGTGCCATCGTGGATGCTGACTTTTGAACTCAGCACTACAGAACATTCCCATAAAATCCCAAAGGATATGTTAGCCATGGATATTCAAATGAGCACAGAGAAAGCAGCATCTCAGTTCATGCATTCGTGTCTTTGCGTTGTTGAGGTTTAATTGGCATTCGTGGAGGCTGCTGTATTCACAGAGAGGGGTTTCATAAGTCTTGAGTGCTGAAAATCCTGTCTGCAGCTAATAAAGTGCAAAACCAGAGCTTAAAGACTAGGACATGATCCCGGTTTTAGACCCAGAGATGTTGCTCACAAATTGCTAAAACAAGTAGTTCTTAAAAAACGGTGTTATTTAGGAAGACTTGGGCTCTGCCGGTTAGCATAGGTCAGTGATTTCCAACTCCCTTCCATGAGGGCATGTATGCAGCATGTTTTACTGTTTTTCCTGCATCAACACAGCTGATTTTATTTACCAGGTGATTAGTAGGCTCCTGCAAAGCTTGACGAGCTGATGAACAAATGAATCAAGCGGGTTGGATTATGGAAACAACAAAAACATGCTGGACACCGCCCCTCCACGAAGGGATTTGGTGATCACTGGTTTAGGATCTTCGTATATGTAAAGTCCAATCATTCCTTTATGGTGTACTAGAAATAGTTTGTTTAATACAATTGGAAATAGTTCTGGGCTGCGCAGTGGTTACAGATGTTGCCTTGCAGCAAGAAGGTCCTAGGTTCGCTTCCCAGCCTGGGAGCTTTCTGCATGGAGGTTGCATGTTCTCCCTGTGCATGTGTGGGTTCTCTCCGGGTACTCCGGCTTCCTCCCACAGTCCAAAAACATGACTGTTAGGTTAATTGGTCTGTCCAAATTGTCCCTAGGTGTGAGTGTGTGTGTGTGTGTGTGTGTGATTGCTTGTCCTGTGCATCTCTGTGTTGCCCTGCGATGGACTGGCTCTCTGTCCAGGGTGTACCCCGCCTGATTACCCATTGACCGCTGGAGATAGGCAACACAACTAATCAGAGTCCAGAGCCGGCTGCTGTTTGAACGAGCCACCGGTAACCACAGACATCGTATATTGATGTCCATGCCGGTGATGGTTGAACATTTTGTGTCTAAAAGTAGAAAATGCACAGGGCTTGGAGGAAAATGATTAGATGTGACCATCTGAAAAGTATTTGCTTGGTGATTACACATACGGGTTTTCCTCTGGTTGTAAAAGTGTTACGGTGGTAGCACCCAAAAGGGGCGGGAGAGGGGAGGATTGCTGCAGCCGAACCTAATGCACTAGTTTTTGTGGTGCTGCTACAGCCTAAACCTCCAGCATTCGGTGTACTTGCATTGTTTTTGTGACGAAAAAACATTTAGGCAGCACAGATAAATGTTCAGGCAGCTGACCTTGGTAAATTAGTGCAGGGAACTCTAATATATACATTTGAAAACAAATCTTACCTCTAGCTTACCTCTTTGCATTATTAGAGTAACATGAATGAATGTTTTGATGGTATGATGTCATTTCCTGTAATGTTTACAACTTTTACTGAACATTATACCAATTTATTTACTTTATTAATATTGAGAGGCACCATTTCAAACTGTCAGTGTGCATTTTGATATGTTTCTAATAATAATTGCTATAAAAACAATTACAAATACAGTTTTATTGATCCAAAGTGTGAAATGTGAAATCTTCTAATTTCTTTAGATTCTATAGATTACCTTTAGATAAGTGGAAAATTATTGCATCACAAGAAAAAGACATGTACAAATATGTTTAGTCCACTAAAATGTCACTAAATAAAAAATTATTTTAGTTGAAAGAATAAAACTATAACTAAATAAAAATTTCTTGTCAAAATGTACGCTGCTGCACAGTCTGCGTAGCAGTCACTGACAACCGGATTCATGAGCTAACAGCTAGTTGTTACATGCAAATTTCTCACAAATAATTGATTTTTTTCTCTCTTTTTTGATGAGTTTGCACATCTGATGCACCATCTAGCTAGTTTTAACCTTTAAAGCTGCAAAAAATAAATGTTTAGGTATAGAAAGGATGAGCATATTTATTTATTTCTACATATGTATAAAGCTAATACTAATAGTGTCACTGAAGGAAGAAAATACATTTTTTTTTAATAGAAGCAGTTATCTGTGCTGTGTGTGGCTGATTATTAATTTGCTTTTTTCATCTGGGTGGCGAGGATTGAGACTCAGTAACAGGCAGATTGGAAAGTGATTTCTCGCAGGAATTGTAAATAGGTTTAACAGCTACACACTGGCCAGTTTGAAATAGAAAAAAAATGTCAAAATGTCTTTCACTTCTTTTGTCTGAACTTGGCAGGCATCCATGAAATGTAATCTGGTAATAACCGGACAGTCTCTCTGCCGTCTAATGGACTCCTCTGGGTAATCTCTCCCTGCCTCTTTGGAACACAGATGAACTCTGGGTTATGATCGGTGCCAGGTTTGATTCCTGTCTGTTTTTGAAGCAGCTCTGCTGTCACTCAGATGTGACTCCACTCTGACCCCCTCATCCTGCCGCTGCACAGTCGACTCAGGTGAAATAAACCACAGCCTTCTGAAAACTCTCCTGACTGACGGGGATGCTTTAAGTGCTTCTGCTGCAAAACTAAAAAGTAAACGTCTAAGTGAAAAGAAAAGCCTTTTCTTGATATCTTTTGTTTCATCACTGCACATTTTCATTGGTTTGTTCTTCATTCTGCTACTAATCACGACGTATTGTGAGATACAAAGAAAGCTTTTTTTATTTGTCTCATCAAGAATGTGTAAACGTTGCTGTGACAATGAAACTGAACAACACCAGAGATACAAAAACTTTCTTTGTCTGCCTTAGAACCCATTTAAAAAAATAATTGAGCGCTTTTGGTTTCCTCACCAGCCAGAAGAGGGAATTATCTTTTCCTTCAATCCTTTCCTTGCAGGACCAAGAAAAAAGATTTAGAGTGATGCTTAAATACTTTCTGTAAATCATAATGATATGCTAAGATATTGATTACCCTCCAAGTGGTACTCTGAAAGCTACCGACCACTTCCTGTCCTGAGATGGGTTTTAAGTAACGCCACCCTTTTCCAGACCTAACTGAAAGGCCCAATGAAGGCCCCAGTAGCTTTTAATTGAGATCTGCATGAATTAATGTCTCACAGAAAGCAGCGTGCATTATCTGTTCTCACCTCCACAGATTCCCAGCGACAATCCTGAGCCCAGAAGAATGAAAACTGTATTTTCAAGAAAAGGGAACTGCGAGGCTGGAAAACCTCCCAAGAGTCTGCCGGCTTCTTATAACCCCAAACAAAATGCCTGATCTATTTTCCAGCCTCTCCCATTTGCTTCCATCGCAGAGTCAAACCAACTGTCAGATGTGGAGCAAATTTTCTTCTGTGCATTAAAATTCATTGCTTTCATTGAATGAAATGGGTTATACTGTACTTCCCTAGCTGGGCTGCAAATAATAAGGTGCAAACCAGCCCTGTATAAATCAAACTGCCACAGAGAAAGTGCAGAGTAAACAAACTGGTCTTTCCCATGACTCCCACGAGACTGTAGGTCCTCATCGATCACAAGCCATACAGATCGGACCACTGGGTCTTGGAATATTCTGCAGTGTGTGTTATCTGTAGAAGGGAAACACGGCTCACAGGTACTGCAGTTTTGCAACAATTCACATAGATTTAAAGCAGATCCTCCTCTGGTGTGCTGTTCAGCAAACTCAGCAATATTTTAAGATGTGTGAAGTTGTCTGTGTGACCTGACAAAAAACAAGCAATAAAAACAAGCATCGCAAAGAAAACTGTACTAATGAGATTGCACGTGTGTCACTGAGATGGCAGTCTGAGGTATCCTGCCTCAGCCGTCTCCATCTGTGTATTCTACTGCAGACATCATTAAATGCCATGCAGCATGAAGATTTTTGTTTACTCTTGGAGATCCCTCACCAGCTTGGGCTGAGGATGTCAGCATGGTGGAGTTTGATAGTGGGATTAATGAGAGTCAAGAGTGACTCCACGATAACGACAGGAGTCAGAGCTCCGTAATGAGGACAAACCCATCCGACCTACATTTTTCTTCGAATGAGGAAATCTGAATGATTGCTAAAAGCATTTCCCCCACTTTATATAGACAACAAGAGCTCCATTTACTTGGCACCTACACAAGAAACCATTACGGTTATGTCAACCTTCTCTAATTTAAAGACAAAGATCCTCAAGGAAAGTCTTTTTCTATAAATAGCCCATCCTTGTGAGGTTCCCCCCCTGAAACTGTCACTTTCTGCACGATTAATGAAGTGAATCCATACGCCTCTGCTCCATTGGACTAATGTATCACAGCAAGGACGCTTTGTCTGTTCCTCGACAAACGGTCGCCACCCTCCTCCATCCACAAGACCAGTTCACTCCATGATGAACGTGGACCTGCATAGCAAATAATCATTACAACTGAAAACCTCTTGAAATTGTAAAAGCTGAAACTTGACCTGTTTAAATGTTATTGACCCTCTAAGCGATCACCTGTAATTGAACCTTGGGGATAGTCTGCTTGTTCCAGTCTTTCTGGTGTAGCTGGAGCAGGTGGTTGATACTCTATGTGCTAATGCCTCCCCAACAATGACACCAAGAGACCACACACATGCTGCATCACCCTTTATCTCAATTAAAAACTCATTTTCATAGTTTTCCATGACTTCCTAAATCAGCCACTGCAAGTAAACACCCCCAGATCCCCTTGCAATGAGAAAGGTCCTCTTGAGGCACGCCATGTTCCCTAATGAACCTCCAATTAGGAGAGAATGAGCCCTGGGCTGTGCCGTCACACCAAGGAGCTTTGAAGTGCACTGAATGCAAAGCAGCCATAGCTTTGTAAGCTTGGAGGGAACACCGAGTTTCCAAACAACAATGAACAACTGCAAAAAGAAAGTGTACAAAAGTGGCTCAAAGGCAACCGAGTCAAAGTGTGCGTGTGGGTGCGAGTGACCAGAGCTGAAGCACTAATGGCTTTGGAGGTTCAGGAAGTAGTGCTGGCTAAATGCTCAGGTGGACAGAAATAAATAGCATCTCCACAGGCAAACTGAGCCTCACATTATGTATATATCCCAGAGTGGTGATGAAAAAGCTCCCTCTTGCAACACCATGTATTACTTGATACAGTCGTTCCCATGCGTGCTACAAATGTAAAACAGTTTCTGTCTGAGCCTGAACTATCCTGACCCTTTTCACTTAGGAACGATATTATATGAATCCCAGAAGACAGAAGTCCTCTGACCAGGCAGCTGATCCACCCCTGAATAACAGCCTGATTAACCAGGAAAACTCCCACAATGAACAAATGCATACAGTCAGAGACAGGCGGACCATGTGTTGTCAACATTACTGCAGGCCACATTCCTGACATCCCAACTGGGCCCATGTCCAGCTGTTAGTTCAGTACTAACTGTTGTTGTTAAAACTTCTGCCGTTAAACCAATTTTCCAGCTTCCAAGGTTAGAGAGATTGGCTAAGCTGGAAGGGAGCTGATAACTTCTTGATATTAAACTTCAGCAGAGGATCTATGGAGAAGATAAGTGGGTTTTGGCCTCTATTGAACATACGTTTGAAGCCGTCGCTTTCCCACAACTGAGACTTTTATTTAATTATTTCACCACCTTCATTCGGCTGAGTGAAAATACAAACTGGCTGCATGAGAAAGGATCAATAACGGGCCCACGCGTAAAGCCAATGATGCATTGATCCCCTGGAGCTCCAGTTCTTAGTCTGCTGGTTATCTAGCACTGAGGGCATGTAGTAGCAGCTCACAATGAACACATAAACACTTCTGCACAGCTGCTAGGGCTTTTCCCACATGGCGTTTTAGAGGATGACACATGGCCTATGGGAATTCCCACAAAAATGAGTTACAATCCAATTCTAAATGAAATGTTTCATAATTACACAACGAGGCTGGCGTGTCTCGGTGTGTGTGTGTGTGTGTGTGTGTGTGTGTGTGTGTGTGTGTGTGTGTGTGTGTGTGTGTGTGTGTGTGTGTGTGTGTGTGTGTGTGTGTGTGTGTGTGTTGGGGGGGTATTTCCATGCACTTCTGCCTTCTAGCCTAATTTATACTTTAGCACACTACTCCACAAGTTTGTGTAATATTATTCTATTCTTTATTAGCCATTAACTGTGTAGGAAATGATGTGGAAAAGCTTGAGGGGACCCTAAGTTTGAGCTCTGGGGAGCACTGCTGATGACTGATGTGAACCGAGTTTGAGTTGAAGTTGTAGCAGCTGAACAGATAATGTCCAGATTAGGTGTTAAGAGATATTAAAGAAAGTCAAAACATTGTTTCCACTAGATATGACATAGTTAAAAGGATACTGTTCTACGAGGATGAGTACACCATTTTCTGCTGCTATCAGCTGGTTGTTTGTGACCTTCAATAGTGATTTCAAACATGTAAAAAAAAACTGGAAGAAATGTCTGGCCAAGTACTTTTTTACAGCAATTTAGAAATAAATCTGAATGTTGTTAAAGTTAGGGTTGCTGCTTCATCAGAGATTATGTTAGAAAAACTAAAAACAGACAGAAAAAGTAATTAAAATGTGTGACTTAAACAACATGGAGTCAGATTTAGGTAATCGTAAATAAATAATTCAAATATGTCTTGATACTTGTTTTAAATAAGCTATTAAATGATGTGAAAAGGACTGATGGTCACCAGGATTCTGCCCTGAGGAACACCAGATAAGTGGGTTTTATTTGCATTAAAGTTGATAAAACTGAATGTGTTAGCTAGTTTGTTTTAAAAAAAAAAGAAACCTAGGGTTTAAAGAAAATAGAGTTCAGATCAGTAGGAATACATGACAAACTGGAAATTGTATGGCCAATAAAAAAATGTTGTTTTACAGATATTGTCAACAGAAGAAAACAAAAGGAGATAAAGCTTTTCCTAACAAAGACATTTATTCCAGAGAAAACAATCATAATCAAACCAGTTTCAATTTACTTAATTGCAGATGTTTGTTCTCTCTCCAAAAGCTTGTCTTTTGAATTTTGCTGGAATCTTTCCCAATGTCCTTAAACACTATGGTAACCCAGATAATGGTGTGACACTGGCCTTTGTCTGCTGAGGAGTGTTTGGCATCAAGCTCCAGTTCCTGTTAAAAAACAAAGGGGTGCTCAGGCGCTTTACAACAGGACGGGATAGTGTTTGGCCACCATGTGTCTGATGAACAACCCCTCACACGCCGGTAGGCGACCATATGTTGGTTTGAATAAAACTGTCTCCCCTGTGTAGAAAGCCTGAAAGCTGTTCCATCACTCACTGATGGCTTCATGTTGTGCAAACATAAGCAAACCATCACACCGTGAGAGAGGGATACAAGGTGCATAACCCGTAGTGATACTATTTAAAGTGCAAGGCAGTAGAGACAAAGCCCAGTGGATCAAGAGTTTGGAGATGCTTTTGATGAGAGGTAAAAGAAAAATCACCCACTGCTGCTAATAAGGTCATAAAATAAGTTATCTGAGAGGGGTTGACCAGTGTTGAAGTAGCAAAAATCCATCTCTATCAGTACGAGAGTTGGTTTTGAAAATGACTATTTCATGTTTACAGAGTTAGAAAAACAATTTCAATTTGCCAACACACAGATGTGATTCACAGATTTGTTTTAGCCTCGTGCTAAAACTGATTAAAGCTGATCTGTCGGGTCTAAACGCCCCTTTAACCTCTCAATCCATACAGGTCTGCAGCTCAGCCATGCCCAGAATACTAATGTTATGAATGTCAATGCAAATCAGAGCCTAACAAAGACCAATGCCAGCACGATGTGATGGTTAAAGGACAAAAGCTTTTCTGCCTGTTTGCGGGACCGGCTCCGTGCACCGGCTCTCGCTCCGGCACTCTGCCTCCTGTCGACGGTAACAATGGCTTTGCGCCTGTGCTGTCAGCATCTTACTGAAAAGAGTCTGTCAACAAGCTCTTTCTGCAGTGACTCTTGCGGTTTTAACACGTGTGTGTGCCGAGGTAGAAAACACTCAAGGCAGCCGCTGTACCAGACTGCAGGAAAACCAAGGAGAATAAATACATTCCTCACATGAATATATGTTAAAAATGAAAGTTGGGAGAGGTTTTTTCGACATCAAATGTGCCATGCTTGAAGACAAAGCAATCCCATACCATCAGTGTCTCTTTGTTCTTATCAGCTGAAGGTGACGACTCTTCTGGCTATCCTCTCCTCTCCTGTTTTCATGGGCTGTTGGACAGAAGGAGAGGAAAACACAGGTTAAGATTCGGCTAATGGGATGAACACAGAAGCATCAGAAAGGACAGAATACCAAAGGCACACATTTGTCTTGATATTTGCAATAAATTTCAGCTGGATGAAAGCGCAAGCGAAAGAAAATAACAAAGAAAATGAAATTGTGGGACACTTAAAGTGACAGAGATTGCATTTATTATTTACGAAGCTCTTGCTCCCAGCAGCACACTAATCTGTGGCTGCAAAAGTGTTTCATCTGTGTGAATATTTCACCTCTCAGCTGTGAGGTAAAATGACCAAAACAAAAAAACGGCATCACCTTTAAAAGCTCAAAACAAAGTCGCATCTAAGGAAAATATTAGCATTGGCTTCCAGGCATTAGAATCTATGAGGATTCTCAAAAGGTTAATTGTTCATTATTAGAAAATCCAATGTTCCCCGCTTTCCTCACAGAGCTCCCGTCTTGACCTTGAGGAGCTCTGAACTCATGCATTATTCACTGAAAGTAGAATACCTTCTTTTTCTTTACACACACTGCTGACTTTAGCCGTCAATGCAAGAAATGTCTCCAACCAAGCGTGTCTAATGAGCATAAAGGCTTTAAACTTTCCCCATCTCTAAATTGCTTTGGCACGACTGTCTCCTAGCTGAAAATAACGATATAGCAATGAGCACCAATTAAACTGCTGCTATTCCAGCCCCCATGAGCGAAAATAGTCAGCAGCATGATTTTGACTGACTACACTTTGGAGCCGGTTTCAAAGTGCTGGCACTGACAACCCAGCACCAAAAGTGGAGACGAGCTGTCTTTCGAAGACATGAGCAGCATGCAGTTCTTGCAGAAGGGTATTTCTCTGACAAGGACCAAGGATGGAGAATATCCCTGGAGGATTCCAGCTGATAGAGCCAGAAACATCATCCCGTCGACACACCATATTGCCAGGAGACATCACATTCAGCAGGACACAAAACCCAAGTGACAGTGACAGCAACGCCCCCGCTACCCACTCACACACACACCCGTGAAGAATATTGGGCTGTGATTGCATCTGGAAAAGCTAGAGTAAGGAAAATGGACGACTCTTAGAAGAGGAGATGCACCTGGATGGTGCACAACCTTATCGTGAAAGCTTGGAAATGAACACATTCAGGGAAACACATGCACCGAGTGCCAAATAATGCAATGTATTCCCTGTATGGTTTAGCTAACATAACCCTGGGCAGTACCATCTCTTTTTGTTTTGTTTTAGAATTTTACAAAAATGAGTAGATTAGTAAGTAGCTGTCATTATGATGGTCTGCAACAGCCCTGAGCAGCTGAGAGCCTGTGGCAGAGGTAGTCTCTTTTGAACCCTTGTTTAGAGAGCTATCAGCCAGTGGAAAGCAACAGTGTGGAGGGTCTGCAATAATTTTTGGTTTCCATGGAAACGCTTTCATAGGAAAGTGGAGCACCAATAGGATGCGGAGACCTCATTGAGTTGGTTATGGGGGTGCGAACTGAGATCAGCGCAGACGGCTGAGAAAGCACAACAATAGGGCGAAGTCTCAAGGGGGACCAGAAAGGCCAGACCGCTGAAGGTCCAACAAAACGGGAGCCACGGCTTCACACCAGAGAAAAGGTTTTGTCTACGGCCGCTCAATGGCTTTCCTTCTAAAAAAATCACTGGAAAATTTACAATTGACATTTAGGTTCATGAGCATTGTGGGCAACTGAAACATCAAAGCAGTCGTTAATTGAAAACCCTCTGCTGATATTTCAGCCTCTGACAATCATGTTACATCATCGAGATCTAGCTTTTTTGTTAGACAGCGGGATGTTTTTAATCGTGAGCTTCCACAATCAACATTAGTGACTTCCTGTAATTCTCTTCAGATCTGAGACAGTGGGGGAAACAGGAAAAATGCACTGCAACAAAAGTACTGTATAAATGACCTTTAACCTTTCCAATGTACAAATTTGTCAGCTCTGAAGACCGGAGATGATTTTGATGTTTGTAGGAAAGCTTTGCCCACTTTCATGATGCATGGAGAAAAAAAAAATCATGTTTCAGCAGCGCTCAAGTTATGGAGACGAAAAGATCTTAAAATAATGAATCAAAAATACAACAGAGTCATGATTCCACAGCAAGAAAGCGATTAGGGATGTCCCGATACAACATTTCAATTCTGATACGATACCGATATTGCAGCCTTCAGGATTGACCAGTACCGATATCAATCTGATATCGTATCACAAATCATACATGCTTTTCCCTTCTTCGTAGTGTGGAATGTATGAAAGGCTTGATCAAGTGATGTTACTCAATCAGCGAACAAGGGCCAATAACACTAAGTCTGAAAAAAAAGACTAAATTTTCTTAACCATTGGTTGCAAAAATGTGAACCTTAACGGACTGCTTATATCGGAGATTTTTGATGCCGTCTGATGTAATCCGATACATTGATTTTAGGCCGATATCTAATGACCTCCGGTATCGATATCGGAATGGGACATTCCTAAATGTGATTGCTTTTAAAAAAGGTGTTTTGAATGCGGCTGGAGCTTCTACTAGAGCCTGACCAAGTTTTTTCCAGTCAAACATATGTAAGAAAGTTCTGCAAGAGGAAATAACAACACACTAATGGTTCTTAGAGTCGAGGCTCGGGCCTCGCTGTGGGGCACTAAACAGGGGTTTGGAAAACTGAATTGAAAAATCAATCCTTACAGCATTTCAACTTGAGTTTAACAAAATATAAAAGCAGAAAGATATGATTTAAAACTACAGCACAGTTTTATTTTCCCAGGAAGTGTGCTTTCCTCTATATAACCTTATTTTACTTTGTTTCACCATTCCGTTGACCACCTGGCTTAAAGAAAACACCTGTATCTGCAAATGCAACCGGTCAACTCGTTGAACAAGCAAGACTGTTTGGATAATAGCCAAGCTCATACACTCTAATTAGGGCAATCTCCTTTAGTGGTGCTGATCAGGCAGGAAATGTTAGTGGAAATGTCAGAGGTCAGAGAGCAGCAGGTAATTTGGGTGGCGACGCATCCTCTGGAGACAGGAAGTGGAGAAGAAAACAAACAGGAAGTGAGAAATCTTTCATCTACATTTCACAGCTGGGCCTGAGATGAACTTCTTCACCAGTGTTAACAAAAGCAAAGGTCTTCTGCAGACACATTAATAGCAATAATGACCTCTGGGAGTCAAAGCTTTTTAAAGACACCTCATAAAATCTGGACCCCTATGGATGACATTTCTCCCTGCTGATCACTGGCCAGCCTCTAGCACTCCACATACATCACTCTGTAATATTATAGAAATTAGAAAAATGGTGCCTGTTGGTAGCTATATATCTCCTGAATGTCCTCTTTAATGAGGCCAATGCTGAGGCAGAATTATCGTCTAACTCCATCTAGGTTTATTGATCCAACAGTGTAAGTCAACCACAAGAGATAAAGATAAACCACAGAGATGGAGAAACAATCCCCAGCCTGATCAGAGGGCACCATGAAGCTAATCACTCATCCTATGCTCCCTGGTGACTCTTCTCTTTGTTCTCTGCACTACAGTAGACACTTAGGGGGTTTCATGCAAGTGAGGAGCAGAATTATATCAGCTAAAAGATGAAGGTTGAATTCATTAAGCAGTCTCCTGTTTTCTCAGCGTTAATCATTTTGGACTAAATGGAAACCTGATGAGAATGAAGCCCTCTGAAAATGTGCTCTGAGATAGCTGTTTTTTATGCAAATGAAAGGCGACACTGTGTCGACCTCTTTGTGGCAAATGTTAGCCAGGCCTCATGTCTGGATAGCAGGTTTCAGGCAGCACCTTGTACGTCTCATCAGGCTCACAGCTCTTCCAACACGTGCAACCTGCTTCTGTAATGACACATCAGCTTCTCCCTGGTGATCAGGTGAAGAACAACTGAGCTACTTGTTTTCTTTTAAAGCATGTCTGTCTAACTTAACCAGCTGCCTCATGCAACACCACACTTTCACCTACTTCCCAGGCCCGCAAGGCTCGCCCCGTGTCTCTGAAGAGCCAGACGCCTAGAGGGCATCCAAATGCTTCTTTGAAGTCGAGCGATTAAAGAGGAAAGACCTGTCGAATTGAGATGATGGGGTTAAGGCTGAGAGAGGAGGAGGATCAGCATGAGGGACAGGAAATGCTGTGAATACTGAGCACTCAGGACTCGTGGGACACAATTAAGAGCGAGGCTTTTTTTTAGTCAAGGTGAAAAAAAACACAGCATGGATTTCAGCCACATAGCCTTCCAAGCCAAGGTAAGAGTTCATTACTAAGCACACAGAGGGGGCTGTTAAACCTAGTTTGTTCACCAACGCCCCCACCCACACACCCTGCAAGCTGTCAAACAGCTACACGATAATCATTTCCATCCCAGGTCAAAGCCTACAGCAGCAAAAGCCTGAGAGAAGTTTTCATTAACCCTCTCAGGCTCAAAATAAGTTTTGATAAAAGGACGAAAAACTAAGTCCTTCAGGGGTACTTCTGAGTTAAGCAATGCTCATGAAATACGTTTGTGGAGTAACCAGGCAGGTAGGTTTTAACGTTGCAAATCTGCAACGCCTGCCTCCAGAGGGTTAATGGTGTTTTTCTGATGAAAACATTATGACTGTAAGGTCAAGCTTGGATTTTTCTTTTTATCAGAGTAGGAACCATCTTCAGCAAAAGGGGTTCCACAGGGACAATAAAGGTGATGCACCGCTCTCTGAGGTGTAACTTTACCAGAGAGCATGGGGGGTCTGAGTCAGTCAGAAAGTCTGCTCAGAACAAAATACTTCTACAAAATCTGAAAGGCAGCCGGTAAGATAAATTTATAATATATTGCTTGTTAAATGAGAAATAGTTGACCTGATTATTGATTGTTTGCCTAGACATGGCCCAAACAATTGAGATTCTGGGTGATTTGTTTGGTTTAATCATAACATTGTGAATGTTTGCCAATTAGTGAGATAAAGACTGTAATTTGCTTGTTTGTGGCGGATT